TGCCTAAATCAGGAAGTCGGTGGCTACCGACAGCAGTGTCAGGATTGAGTCTACCAGGGTTCCTGGCTATCAGGGTTTTATGGTGTGCTTTTCTGACATACCTAACACTTCCTAAACTCTGCTGCTACTTTAGTATCTGCATATTAACCTGTTTTTACCTCTAAATTTGTTCTTACTGTCTTAAAAGGTGAAAAAGAAAAATTCTCCATCAAATCTATTTTGTTCCATCACTGTTCCTCAACCTTCAAAACTCAGTCCCGAGGGCACCTCCTTATTGTATCCTGTATCCCTCAGCTTACAGCACAAGGTTCATTTTCAAATATAAGATCTACTGAATAACTCATAGCTCTCTACCAAAGGTAAATGTCAGTTCTGCTGTGTACCTTGAAGTGCTTCTAAATTGCCAAAAAAGGGAATAAAAATCTGGAGAAGGCTATATCCTGCCTTTTACATGCCTTAAACAGAAGACCACCACTTTCGTCAACAGTACAGTAGTGAGAAATAGTCACAAGGCCAAGTCTAGCTGCAAGGAACCAGGGCGAATTCTTCTCAGAATATCTGGGAAAGAAGAAAAAAGACATTGGTAAGTATTTTAAGTCTCCATTATACCTTTTCTGATCCTTCCCTATAAATCTATACTGAGTGCCTCTTAGTATTTATGTTTAACATGTTACAGTTGACCCTCAAATAACAAGAAAGTGATTATAATTAGAAGAAATACAGAAAAGACATTTCAAAAGGGGAAAACAGCTAGACCAAAGGTCCAAAGACCAGGGCAATCTTGGTATATTCAAGAATGCAAAATATGCATGTAATGTATATAAGTTAGAAACTCCTCTGAGAACTGCATGCAGTGTTCAAGATATCCTTGTATTGAATTTACCTCTAAATTTTACAGATTTAAAGCACATTTCCTGCCACATTGTATTGGTGTCAGATACTATTTTTAGCTACCTTACATGTGAATGGAAATTAACCATTACTGTAAAAGATTTTTTTAAAAAATTAAGCTGTCAAAAACAAAACATAGCTTAGAGAAAAAGGTGAGGCTATCTGAAGTGTTAATGCAAAAAAATAAAAAGAAATGTCTCCAGACAGTATATCTCCAGGTTGGATATGTTTCATTCCAATTAAAACTATCTAAATATACTTCGCATGTTATTCATAAAATCAGTTTTCTATCTGATTGAGAGAAAACTGATATATTTTCACTAAATGTGCAGGACACAGTTGGCATATTTCTGCCGTAAAAAAACATTCTGTGCATGGTAGACAACATTCTGTTTTCAGGGCACCCTTAAAGAGACAGGAAGTGACTTTCTAGATCAGTTAACACTAAAGTACAATAAGTTCAAGCAGCCTTAGAGAGCTGATAATAGCAAATGACAAGTCATTTTGTAGACCTATTCTATGGCCAGAGAAAAAGAAACACAGCAATTTAAGGTTTGAACTCCCAATTATTTGTCTCAAGGGCAATCAATCCAAATTTCATGCATTGATTGGCAATTACACTGCCCTCATAAAGGCAAGTGACTATAATGTGTTGCAATATGACTGATAATAGGGACTTATTTATTTAATGGTATTAATGATTCTCTCAAACTATGTAGAGAAAGAAAACTATTACATAATAAATGTTATGAATTGCAAGAAGAGGAAAAAATCTTTGTCTCACTTTAGGTTTCCCCAGAAATGTTAGGTTATGGCTTAACTCTAACCAGTGCACCTCCATCTTGTTCTGTACGTGCCATCTCGATAGGGTTAAGTTTCTAATCCTTGTAAAAGCTTAAGTTTCAGTTTCTTGTAACTTCCCTACCCTCTTTCCGAACATTATTGGAGGTATACTATTCAGAGATAATGTTTAACCGCAGGGTCGGAGTAGTAGATTGCACCAAGAGCTCCAGATGTTATCAGAACTAAGTCTACAGTTTTATAGCTCTGTGGTTTTTAGCTTTAAATATCCCTCCCTTAGTCTGTTAGGCGCACAGTCTCTGGGTTGATCCAAAGGGGATCCATCGCCAGGGCTGGAATAAAGCCTTTGCTCTGAATTTTCTTTATTTCTTGCATCCTTGGATTTTATTTCCGGGTCCGAGCTATCTCAGAAGCACATCCTGAGACAAGGATTCCTAGTAATTAGTAATCTATAGGGGAAATAAAAATAATGGTAGAGGAGTAAAGAAGGAAAGAAATGGTAGAGAAACTGGAAAGCAAAGACAGCCAACAAAGAGATAGTTATTAAATATATCATTAATCTTCAACAAAAAATTTCTGGGAAAATGGGAGTAAAAACATTTAAACAGAACATGAAGACCTGGGTTAGTCTTGAGTTCAGTGATTCAACTGGAAACAAAACAAATTTACTTGGTGCCTGAATGATTTTATACTGGATACGTCACTACTATAGCATTTGTTAAAAAGTTCATTATATTAGTGTTTTAGTTACATTCTTTTTAAATGTGCTTGTATGTTAGCTATTTATTCATAATTTTAAAAATGTTAGCCTTAAATATGTGTTAGCTATATGTCGGGAACATGGCAGAGGAGAATTGTGCCTCACATGGCAGCAGGAAGGAGGGAAGGAAATAAAGCCTTCCAGGCCATGCTTCCAGGGATCCACCTCCTCCTTCCAGGCTCTGCCATGTTGCTGTGCTTTGGGGCCAGCCACTATGGACAGAAACCTCTACAAACTGTGACCCAAAATAAACCTTTCTTCCTTTCACTTGTGGGAGTTGTGTATTGTGTCTCAGCAACAGGAAAGTAACTAGGACAGTCAATGTGTAGGCCATACTGGCTAAATCAGGGAGACTGTTCATATAAGAAATTTTTTGGTTTTTTGGTAGAGGGAATTGAACTCATGACCTTGCGCTCACCAGGTAGACACTTACATCACTGAGCTAAATCCCCAGTCCCTATATAAGAAATTCTTTAAAAAAAAAAATGGCCTTAAATGGATGGCTAAAAATGTATGTCATCCATTTGAGGACAGTATCTAATAATACTAGAGAATTTTAATGTTTATGTTAAAAACTTTGTGTCTCAATGGGAAAATCATGAAAAGAATACAGTACTTCACTCTATCCATACAAATGTTGGCACCTATATTGCCCTTGGAATGTAAACTTCTTTTTTTTTTTTTTTTCTTTTTGCCTTTTTCCTTTTTATCAGTACCAGGGATTGAGCTCACGACTGCCTGCTTGCAAGACAGGCACTTATGCCGCTGAGCTAAATCCCCAGCCTCTCAAAATCCCATATTTATCCTACTTTTCTTTACCAGTACACCATAAACTGTATAGAGCAAATGACCATTAATCTTCAACCAAAAAATTTCTGGGAAAATGGGAGTAAAAACATTAAAATGTAACATGGAGACCTGGGTTGGTCTTGAGTTCAGTAATTCAACTGGAAACAAAACTTACTTAGCAACTAATAATTTTATATTGGATATGTCATTATTATAGAAATTTGTTAAAATTTCGTTATATTAGTGTAGTTACATTCTTTTTAAAAGTGCTTGTATGTTAGATATTTGTTCATAATTTTAAAAATTTTAGCCTTAAATATGTATTAGTTATATGTCTGCCATTTATTTCAAAAATCTTAAGGGTTAGGAGATCTATACTTGCTGATGCTGGAGGTTTAATGCATGGAATTCATTATACTAATTTATGTACTCAAATATACGTTTGAATATAAAGATGGGCTATTTGAGTGAGGTAACTTAAATAGTATTCTGATCTCCTGTCTGATTCCTGAAAGTTTTAATGTCTTAAAACAACTACTCATAGAAATAAGTATAGGATATCTTTGGAAAAGGTAGTTACAAAAGTACAGTGCTAACCAACGTATGCAATATTACCGTGAGAGGCTTCCAAGGCATTATATCCCGTAGGAAGCAAGAAATCAATCTTAAAAGACTCTTATATCTGTTGTTGATTGGCAAGGAAAGATCTCTGGTCTGGGAATTACAAAACTGCCAGACATCTAGCTTTGTGATCTCATACATAATTTTTATAGGTCCTGATCACGAGAGCACAGGAAAGCACGAAATGAGTAAGAGCAACAATAACTGTTTTGCAGGTGTCAGCCTTGGCACACTTTGCATTATTTTATTTAAAACTCACAACCCAACGTGTTATATGAGATTTGAAGAGCCTCCTACTTCAGCCTCCCAGAGTGCTAAATTTACAAGTGTGCACCACCATGCCCAGATGATACATACTTATTAAAAGATTACTAAATGCAGTAGACATCAATACATTGTACCATTTTGGACTTGAGGCGAAACGGTTTTGCAGAAACCTTAACTTACTTAAAGCCACGCACAGAACTGATTGGGCCCACTGCTTATTCCTGGTTTACGTAACACAATAGCATACTTGGAAAATTCAATCGCAGGGGATTGTATTGGCTGAGGGAAGGTTGTGGGGCCAGATCACAATTACTGGAAAACTGAAAATGGTCCCCACAGGCCTACATTCTTTCCCTACTTCGCACTTGCCTCTACACAGCTCTGCCTGGCGCACCATAACCAGCGGACCTACAGCGCCAAAGCCGCCCCCGCTCGGACTATCACAGACTGTGATCTTTAAACTACACCTCCCAAGAAGCCTTGCGAGGACACCCGACATATGCCGGAAGTCACGACGGCTGCATCCGGTGCTGGGGAAAGTGCGGGTGACTTTCCCGCCTGTATCCTGATCGCGGTACTCTAGTCACTTTGGGTTAGTAGCACCCGTGGAGAGTTAGTGGGCCCCACGATCCCCTCAGAGGGCGCTGACCTGCGTCGCGGCCTCGGCCGCTGGGTCCCACGTGGCGCATCCTTGTGCGGGGTTGGCGGGCGCCTTGGCCGGGTCTGTGGGGCTCTCGGGACCTGGCTGGGCCTCCAGCGGAACTGCGGCCGCTTGTGGAGTTTCAGCCCAAGTTTCGAAATGGAGTATTTAAAAAAAAAAAAAAAAAAAAATGCGCTACTCATTATAGTGAGGAAATGAGCCCTAATGCGTTTGACCCTTCGGAGAGCCCGTAGAGGGTGTGCAGTGACGGTGGCATTGGCCGCCCTCTGCTCAGTGGAGTTTGTTTATTGAATAGTGATTTAAGGGACGGAGCATTCTGTGCGGTCCCGTTCTCTCGCATTCCGACCATCTGAGCTTGGGCAAGTTACGGGCCCCAGCTTACTGCGTGTCAGTAAAAGTGGATGTTGGTTTAGTTAAATGTAAGTCCTTTTAAACCTAAGATTGTTTTAATGACCTGTCAGTAGTTCATCCTCTTCTGGGAAAGCAAGTGTAGCGCTTCACTTTGCTTTCAATTCCTTTTTATGGGACCTGTCAGTGATTAGGTAACAGGCAAGGGAGCTAAATGGCAGATCTCCTGTACTTCTCTGAAATGAATAATGCGTTATTTCTAGATGACTTTTCTGTTGGGAAAGTAAAGGGGAAACGTAGTTCTTTTTGTTTTTCTTCTGTTTTTTAAATTTTTCTTCAGAGAATGCTGTGTACATAAGCGTTGCATGGGAGATAGTGAATGACACTGTTTTTTTAGAACACTTTGCAATCACCTGGAGTGACCATGACCAAGAGAGAACTCTGGATAGTGAAATATTGTTAAAAGAAAACCTGTGTGAAGAAATTGTAATACAAGTTTGTGAAAAATAAATTTAAAGACCGCATAGCAGTGCTTCAAAGTAAAGTCATAAAAAGTTACAGCTTTTGTTATTCACACATTTTTAAAGAAACGTAATGAAAGGAATGATAACGCACATCTAGAGTAAATTGAAAGAAACAAAGTTGTTTTTCAATGTAGAGATCACCCTAATTTAATTTGTAAACAGATTTTAAGGATTAAGTTTTTTCCATTTCTGTGTATAGGTTTTAATCTCTTAAGTAACAAACCCAAACAAGAAATATGTACAGATACAAAATAAAGTTATTCATTAGTCCATTTTTGCCCAAATTTTGTTCATACTGCACTACAAAATTGATCAACTAGATTGCTATTTCAAAACCTGAGACCACAAATGTCAAAAATTACGAGTTAATAGCTTTTCATGTTAGTCTAAGTACCTAATTTCTTAGAAATGGTAGAATAGTTAAAATCCCAAATCTTTTCTTAATTTCATAGAATGAAGTACTGCCTTAAAAGGACCACTTTGAAAGGGTCATAAGACAATTGAAACATGAACAATTTTCATACACACAGCTCCCTGTGTGTCCTAGGACATGTAATCTGTGATTACATAACATTTATTAAATGTGGTACAAAAGCTTCTTTTTCTTTTTCCTTTTTCTAAAACACCAGAGTGACAAAGCAGATAGGGTTAATGATTTACAAAGCTCTCAAAACAACACTGACCAACAGAACTATAGGTCAAAAATAGCTGGTCATGCAATTTGTGACAAGGCTAATACTGCTGTGCTGTGAGACAAAGAGTAATTTCAAGAATAGTGCTGAGTCATAGGAAGTATCCATGGGAATAAAACATATCTTGACCTAGCCTGCGTCACACCATGAACAAAAATCAGTACCATATGGATTGCAGAATTAACTGCAAGGTAGAGCAATAAATTATTTTTATGTGAAATTTAGAAAGCAATTAAATATAGGGTCATAATTTCTTTGAGTGCAGGGACCTAAACCTGGAAGCATAGAATCACAGAATACTACAAAAACCCTCTGCTGTTATTTTAATCTGCCCTGCCCTTTCCCTTTCATGTCCCTGCTCCATCATGAAGTCCCCTCTGTTCCAATCTCTGCCTTTGTAGTGTTATTGCTTCTCCCCCCATCTCAAGCCTCTTTTTGTAAAAGCCTTGATGCATTATTTTAATACCCTCCCATGGGCATATAAATTGAATTATAATTCTCAACTGATAACAGTTTTGAAATGAATATTGTGATGACAAGTGACTGTGTGTTTAAGACTATAGTTTTGGAAACTTACTCTAACATCAGTGTTCAAATAACATTTATCCATTGCAAAAAGCAGCTGCAAATGTGGATTTTTTTCCCCCTATTTCCTTTTTTTAAGGAAGACATGTCTTCTGGTAAAGGAAGTCCAAAACAAGAAATGATTTCTGAGTTTCACAGTGCAGCTGCTGAGGGAGATATTGCCAAGATAATAGGAATACTCAGTCATTCTCCAGCGCTTCTCAACGAAACATCTGAAAATGGCTGGACTGCTTTAATGTATGCTGCAAGGAACGGACACCCCGAAGTCGTCCAGTTTCTGCTTGAGAAAGGGTAAACATTTCAGGTTCTGCTGCTTGAAAGGGTTTGTGGTTTAATTTCTATGTTACAGATGACCTTTCAGATTTTACTTCTGTTATTGTTGGGCCAGTAATTAACTCATTGATTGATTTATTGTATAAAATGGAGCATTATTTCTAAGTAAAAACTGTAACTTTTTTTACTGGTCCTGAGAATGAAACCCAGAGTCTCGTGCATGGCAGGCAAGCACTGTACCTCTGAGCTACATCCGTAGCATTACTATTATCGTTGTTACTAAGAAAACCTGTCATACTTAATAGTATGTATGCTGCCAAAGCGAGCACAACCTGTCCTACTTAATAGGAAAGCAAAATTATGGGTAGTCTAATCTTTTTCTACCAGATTAAAAAATACAGACTTTGTTATTGATTACCAAGGACTCTTTGTAAAATTTTGCTGCATGAAACTACTAATTTTTATGAGTAATTACCCAGAAATTGTATCCCCTATCTGACCTTTCCTCACTGTGATTATTGATTCTTTTAATCTTCCCAGTAGTAAACTGTACCAAAATAGGAATGTAATGTATAAAACCAGTAAATGGAGGAAGTATAAAGTGTACCTAGAAATATTATATTGAAATAAATATAGAAGAAAATGTTTAGTTCCAATTTTATTTTTCCTGCCCAATTTTTTCTTCCATCTGTAGGTGTGATAGATCAGTTGTCAATAAATCAAAGCAAACTGCACTGGATATTGCTGTATTTTGGGGTTATAAGCATATAGCTAACTTACTAGCTAATGCTCAAGGTGGGAAGAAGCCTTGGTTCCTAACCAGTGACGTGGAAGAATGTGACAATTATTTTAGCAAAACACTACTGGATCGAAAAAGTGAAAAAAGAAATAATTCTGACTGGCTGCTAGCTAAAGAAAGCCATCCATCCACAGTTTATATCCTTTTCTCAGATTTAAATCCCTTGGTCACTTTAGGTGGCAATAAAGAAAGTTTCCAACAGCCAGAAGTCAGGCTTTGTCGGCTGAGCTACACAGATATAAAGGATTACTTGGCTCATCCTGAGAAGATCACCTTGGTTTTCCTTGGAGTAGAGCTTGAAACGAAAAAACAGTTAAATAATCATGCTGCAGAAGTCCCAAGAGAAGAGGAAGATGGGTTGGTTGCCTGGTTTGCTCTCGGTATAGATCCTGTGGCTGCTGAAGAGTTTAAGCAAAGACATGAAAATTGTTACTTTCTTCATCCTCCCATGCCAGCTCTTCTACAGTTGAAAGAAAGAGAAGCTGGTAAGATAGGAACACTGCTTACTTACTTTGGTAGTAATCTGACTTTTGAGCCGAATTGAACTTACACATATTTATAATTTTCAGAAAGCACATTTTTTCCAGTAAGCAGTAAAATTATGTTGTCTTCATTAGAAACTCTAACATGTTCAGTCAGTTACACTGCTGTCTTGGAGGGTTACAATGTTTTAATCACCCAAGTTAGCTTCCTAAAATTAACTTTAACATATGATGATTTCATTTAATTCTTTAGCCACTGCTAGCACTCAAAACCCTCAACGGTTCTATCTCCTGTTGCTGAGTCTTTTTTATCCCATAGCAAAAACGAGAGTTTTAATCTAAGTGCCATGTAAATGTGGCCACCTGGCCTATGTTTATTGTCTTCATGCACTTTTTAAAGAAAAACCTCACATTAGATACTTTTATAGTATGAATTATAGGAGGGATGACAGTAAGATATGGAAGTCAATTATGAGGGAGTTGGATGTTTTAATAACCCAGGTAAGAAGTTCCAATGGCTTGGATTAGAATGGTGGTGAGGACGGTGCTGAGCTGGAGGCTCTGGATGTAGAACTGGTAGATTCTGATCTATAATTGAGACTTTAGAAGTGAGAGGTAGATGGTGGTAACCTTGACTCAGCACATGTTGAAGTGCCAGTAGTAGACATGGCAAAAATGGGGTACATTTGTGAAATACAAGTGGAGGTAAAAGCCAATGATGCTGATTAAGCAAAGGATATAGTAAAGAAAACAAGAGTGACTGCTAGGCGTTTTTAGTAATTCAGTAATGATACTAATTCTTGATAATAAAAGGCAGTGGATACAGCATGACAGCAGGACAGACCGAGTAAATCAAGAATTTTCTCTCAGATAAATTCAATGTTTGAGAGGCATCTTAGAATCTAGAACTCAGGGAAGAGGGCTGAATAAGGAAACTCACAGCAGCCATCAACCCAGTGGTGTTTAAATCCCAAGAAATTATCGAAATGACTTAGAGCATTGAAAACAAGAAACGACATAATGGAAACTTACAGGCCAGCTATAAGCAGAAGGGCGGGAGAAGGTGACAGTGTAATGTGTCAGCCTAATGTCAGAGGAAACCAAGGCAGCAGAGTATTTCAAGAAGAGGCGGTTAGATGTGCCGATGCGCTTAGGTGTGTGAGTACATTTGGTCTTGTTGAAGAACTGTGTGGTGTGATGAAGCGGCTGGTGAGGGACGTTTGGAACGGCAGTGGCCTGGAAGGAACAGGAGTGAGGAGGTGCGGCGGGGAGGAAGGGTTCTGTCCTTCATCGGCCTCTACTGTCCCATCCTGAGTGGGGCTTCAGAGCCCGCGCACAGCGCCTGCCGTGACGCACTGTGTCCTTACACCTGCGAAAAACCGCTGGCCTTTTTTTGAGGTTTTAAAAATTCTTTTCTGTGAATAGACACAGAGCTTTTCATTTTGGAATTACAAAATTTTACATATATTTTTATGTTTTGAATGTGCATATGGTCACAGTATTTTAAGATGAAAATGATCTTATAAATGAGCTAATTGCTTTATTTTTATTTTTATTTTTTTCTTTTATTAGTAGGAAAACTGAGGGACCTAAACTCACTTGCTGCCTAATCTTACATGGTTAAGATTTTCTGTACCTGTTTCCTCTTGTACAAGATAAGGATAATTACAGTACCTTCTTCTCTCAGGGAATTTCTCTAAACATTAGTAATTTCATATAAGTTCTTTCATGGTAGTTGCACATAGTAAATACTTGAGCATTATTGTTTCCTATTGTAATGCTCCTGAAATAATGTAGATACTCTATGTAAATTACATGTTATTAAAGACAATTGTTTTATCTGTTTTACTTAACATTTTCTCAGTTTAAATGTTGTTTATTATTGTTTTGTTTCAAAATTTATTTTAGTGTCATCATGGACCAACCTGAAGTGACTACCATTCCCTGAGTCTCCTTTCCAGCTTAAGACTATTAGGAACCAATTTTGTAGTATATATTGGTGTTTTGTTTTAGTTATGTTTTTGCAGTACTGGGAGTCTAACCTAGAGCTTCACACATGCTAGCCAAGCACTGTATCACCGACTTACATCCCCAGCACAACTGTAGTATCGTCATTGTAGTCATATTTGTAAATTCACTACATACTACAGTCATGTACAGCCAAGATTTGAAAATCTGTGTTAAAAACCTGAGGCAATAGTGTGCAGGATGGATTATTAGTGTATCTGTCTTATAGGAAAATTATGTTTTATTCAAATTCATGTTAAATCTGATTTTCATTTGCCATCTAAAAGATTAAATCTTTTACTTTAAGCGGAGAATACATCCCCTAAAAACAAGTACTAAAGCCACTGATCACAGGTATTCAGAAAACAGTGTATGTGTTTATCATTTACTTGAGCACATTATACCTACATACTAACTTTTTGTTTTACAAATTATCAGCATGAAACATTTCTGTGCTTTTTTAAAAAGGGGTCGTAGCTCAAGCAAGATCTGTTCTTGCCTGGCACAGTCGATACAAGTTCTGTCCAACCTGTGGAAGCACGACTAAAATTGAAGAAGGTGGCTATAAAAGAGTGTGTTTGAAGCAAGACTGCCCCAGTCTCCATGGTGTTCATAACACATCATATCCCAGAGTCGGTAAGCCTTTTCCCTTCAGCTACCTGGACTCCTGGGGAACGAAATATTTCTAGAGAGAAAAATTTTAAAGGAGCTGAAAGGTTTAACTTTTTATTAAGAACACATTTATTAAAGCTGTATGTATGAAAGTATTATGTACTCTCATGGTTTTTAATCAAAGATATTGGGCATAATTAGTGATCTCTTAACTGTAGGAAATTCAGTATGAGTTTATTGTAGGTGATTTTAACAACCAGCCAGTCTGACTCCTCTTTTGGGGAGATAAGGCCCCCAGCAATGCAGTGCCTGCTTAAAGCATTCCCGGAGCCGTACAGTAGGGAGCTAGACTCAGTAGTACTGCTAGTGTCTGCTTCTTCCCTTCTAATTGCTGCTTTGTGTCTGCTGTGGGTTTGGAAATCTGATAACCTAGGCCTTAAACTGTAAAACACGACAGACTCAGCAGCACCTGAGGAGCTCTCTATGGAGTAAAAGCATAACAGCTTAGTGACATCTGATTTTGTTGTTCAAGAGCTTTTTGCATTTAATTCCTAGTTCTTAATCATGATCTATAAGGAGGACTGACTACATTAATGACTTCTAGAGAGAGGAGCTCTTCTTTTAAATTTTTTAATGACTGTAGCAAAACTAAACATAGAGCCACATGGCCTTTTAAAATTATTTTGCTGGAATGGAAAAGAGAAAATTCTACTGTATTTACTATAAAAATTCAATTTTTTTTCCATGACTCTATCTTGCAGGGCCAGACTTTTTTCTCATTAAAAAATAATACACATACTATACCCTAACTACAGAATAAATGTTGCTAAGATTGTGGGAAGGAAGGGCTGGGGATTTAGCTCAGCGGCATAAGCACCTGTCTTGCGAGCAGGCGGTCATGAGTTCGATCCCTGGTACTGGTAAAAATGAAAAAGACAAAAAAAAAAAAAAAAAAAAAAACTAAGATTGTGGGAAGGAAAGTAAAACCGGTCTTCCTTTAGCTTACTGATAGTGTTCTATGGGATTTCTCTGAAATTTTCCATCACCAGCCACATTACAGCAGAAAGAAACAATTTCTTATAAACAGAAAAGAATCTTGTTCCTAGAGGAAATATACCTTTAATCTCATCCTACTAGACAATGACTTTGCACAATAAGTCTAAATTATTTTTCTTGCCATTCAGGTATCTGATTTCTTTTAACAGATCCAGTAGTAATCATGCAAGTTATTCATCCAGATGGGACCAAATGTCTTTTAGGCAGGCAGAAAAGATTTCCCCCGGGCATGTTTACTTGTCTTGCTGGATTTGTGGAACCTGGTAAGCCTTGTCTGAATACATTTTATAATTTCATTTAACATAATTTTGAAATAAAATTTTCAGGTATAAGTTATAATTATATCTTGAGTTATAATTGCTAATAAATTATCATGTTATAAAACTGAATCATTGTTTAGAATGTTTTTTAAATGTGGTATCATTTTAAAACATGACTTAGCATGATACAATTTTCATATTTTACCAATAACTTCATTTATTAAAAATTCAGTACTTGCTCTTTCGTGCATTGTTTTGGCCAGGGTCCCTAGATGTTTCACACCTTTCTTCTGTGCGTGCTGTAACTGTCACCTTCCGACAGGGCCTTAGTGATGGCTCAGTACGTCCGTTAGCCCCATGCCCTGCGTTCACATTTGGTCTTTTCCCAGTGGCCTGCAGCGTAACCTAATATATACATGTGTCCACTGTCTGTGCTTACTGCTTGCCAGTCCCATAAAGGCAGGATCTTTGGATTCCTCATTTCTGTCTCCCAAACCATAAAACCAGGCATCTCACATGTGTTAGGAACTCAGTGAATATCTGTGGAATAGATGAATGCATACAATGAATTAGTATTTAATTTCAACTTCCAACCTTAATCTATATCACCAGATAGCAAGTGTAAGCCTGTGTGGTATGCGGCTCATTTCTGGAGGTTTTATGTATTTAACTCACTCTTCACACAGCATCAAACAGTAGGCACCATCACAGCAGTTTACACACGAGGCGCTAAGGCCCAGAGAATGCTCAAGACCATTCAAGGCCGGCCACTTTGGCTCCTGAGGCCTTCTTCTCAATTCCTGTGCAGCCTCTCAGAGTTCGTGGTTAGCTTTTAACTGCCGGGCATATGTGAATATTCTGTAATGTAGTCCTCCTTCCTGCTGTGGGCATTTAGTTTGTTTTGAGGTTTTTTCTTACTGCAGATAGTGAGTATTTTATTCTTCTTGCTTGTACTTCCGCACACGCACAAGTGCTGTCTAGGGTATATTCCCAGAGTGGAAAGGCTAGCTCGCTGATGTGAGCATCTCAACCTTTTCTCGATGTCGCTAAATAGCACAAGCAAGTGTTCTTGCCTGTTTACACTCCCACCAGCCTTTCATGAAATGTTCTATTATTCCATTCCCACCCCACGTTAGGATTTTCAGATTCTTTATCATTCTGAGGCATATGAAATACTAAGTTATTGTTTTCATTTTCATTTTTCTGCTGATAGCATATTTTTCAGATTTTCATTATGCATCCAATTTTCTTTATTTTTGAATTCTGCTTATATATTTTGTCTATTTTTGTTTTGATTATTTATCCTTTTTTGTTTTGGACTAAGGGTTTTTGAATATATATGTTAATCTCTTGTTTTTATGCCATTGCACTAGCTTGTGACCTATTTTTGCTATGTAGTAAGACCCAGACTTACAAGCTCCATTCCTGGAGAATGTTCCTAAATCATAGTTGGTCAGCAGTCCCCACAGAGTGAGTCTTCCACACCTTTGACACGTGTTTGCAGCATGTATTCCTTTGCACTTCCCAGCATCCCCTGCACATCCCCACTGCTGTTCCTCTTGCCTCCAGACCTCCTGAGGTCTGAATGGGCACAGCGTCCCGGGCACTATGGCACCGCACGGTAAGCACAGCTGTGACAGTGTCCAGCAGACATGTGAGCTCCTCCGCATTTGTTCGCATCTCCCAGTGTTCCTAAAGCAAGGTCCATTCTATTGGTGTAAGTTTTCAACTTCATTGTTCATAAGTTAGGGACTTACTGAATATTTTGTTTTGGTGAAGGTAAGTTCTTAAGTTTTGTATAGGAAATTTATCAGAATTTGAAATTGGAATCTGCATTTAAAAATATATTTTGCTAGGTAAGGCTATATGTTGCTAAATATTTATAAACTTTCAGATAAATTTGCTTAAATTTTTTTTCCTGTATTCAGATTCTTAATTCTGTGAAAATCAGAAATATAGAGGATATTTATAGGGATTACATTATTTTCTCATGGCTGAATCAACAGTCATTTAGCAGAAAACAACTGCTTAAAAAGAAAAAAATACTTGGGGGCTGGCGATTTAGCTCAGTGGCATAAGCACCTGCCTTGCAAGCAGGCAGTCGTTAGTTCGATCCCCGGACCCGATAAAAAGGAAAAAAGACCAAAAAAAAAAAAAAAAAAAACTGAATTTCATTATATGATTTTTATAAGCTTTTTTAGTCTCCTGTAAAGCTATCTACAGTAACTATTTGACAGTGTAAAAAGAGTTGTAGCTTTTAATAGGGAAAGAGCCAGCCATTTATAAAAGTCATGTAATGATAACTTACAACTGTTTGGTGGTAATGTATAAGTGAGACAGTATATAGAATATTTGTATAATGTTTAGCCGGTAGTACATTGCAAATCATTGTAGATTTTATAATTATTATTTGTAAAATGTACCTGAAAAGTTTGGAACTTTAAGAAACAAAAGTTTTCTTGTTGGCATTTTGATGCCCTATATATAGCTATATCCTTTTAAAAATAATGGTTTTTCGCTTTGTCTTACATTTGTAGTCTTTGAATTGTGTGTTCTTTCCAAAGTGATTCTCAAACGTTTGTACCATTTGAAGCACAAAATGTCCAGGGTATGTTCATCAACAGCTTGTTCTTTTGCCCCATTTGATTAGGGGAGACAATAGAGGATGCTGTTCGGAGAGAAGTAGAAGAGGAGAGTGGAGTCAGAGTGGGCCATGTTCAGTATGTCTCTTGTCAACCATGGCCAATGCCCTCCTCCTTAATGATTGGTTGTTTAGCTGTGGCAGTGTCTACAGAAATTAAAGTTGACAAGAATGAAATAGAGGATGCCCGCTGGTTCACCAGAGAACAGGTAAAGTTCAATTTAATTTCCTTCTTCTATTGATTGTTCCCTGACAGTATTGGTTTGGGCACACAGCAAGGAAGCATATTTTCCGCAGGTTGAATGAAAACCCATAGCCCTCTTGTTATGCATGGATTACGGTGTAACTGATAACTCCATGTGAGGAGAGTATATATATGTTCACTGTTCACTGACGTGTCCCATTTTAACTCATTCTAGTAATGATCGATCCTGTGTCATTTCAAATTTCAGATACCATTCCTTCAAATTAGTGATAGTAGTTTTCAGTGGACTTAAACTACGTAAACATTAGTTCAGAGATAAAAAATAAGAGTATGTTCTTACACTTGTTTTATATTTTAGTTCATAGCATTTAAACAAGAAGCTCTCAAAAAAATCATTTAAAAATACTGAAATCTTTGACGTTTTTATTGAGAAATGTGCCAAAGTCCAAGAGTGTCATAACTGTATACCAAACATCCACTCAAAAGAACTTCTTAAAAGAGCGTTGTGAAGTAATAGAATGGGAGATAAATTACTTTTCTGTATTTTCCATGACCTGAAACATTTATACAGATAACAAATTACATTACATTACAGTAGTGAAGACCTCAAATCCTAACTACCTGCATAAGGTTAATTTTATTTTATATTCAGTCCCAAGAGATAGAAATTAGATTATTGTTTTGGAATTTTAGAAAAGAGAACCCTGTCCCCAAGTAGGCTTTTCTTTGAAATTAAGCATGAAACATGTATTTTGTTTTTTCATGACCTCATTTTCATGAGGAAATATATTTCTGGAGCATCTTAAAACTTAAAACACTAATTCAGGGAAGCAGTTAAAAATGCTATACTAATCTTCTGCACTTTGATTGTGGGTATTGTCACTTTCTATTATTGTTATTCACTGTAAAAGCCATCATGTGTTAGCTGAATTGTATAATCGTGGAAGTAGTGTTCAAACAGCAATGTTGAAACCTTGATGTGTCTTCTTACGTATTTTCAGGTTGTGGATGTTCTAACCAGAGGGAAGCAGCAAGCATTCTTTGTGCCACCAAGCCGAGCTATTGCACATCAGTTAATCAAATACTGGATTGGAATGAACCCCAATCTCTAACTCAAAATACTAGGCTTTGAGTATTATTTCTAAAGCCACTTTTCAGTTGAGATTAGAAATATGTAGTGCTCTTTAGAGTCTCATAACACAAAATATCATGTTGGGCTGTCAAAATATTTCTAAAGTGTTCTCTCCATTAACCATAGAATTCACATTTTTATAAATTTCAACACTGTGTCAGATTTCATTAAATTTGAATGAGACTTTGAGATTTTTTGATTGCACATCACAGTTTTATCTCACAAACCATATTTCTAATAAGAAACATCATGTTGTAGAGAAATATATTCTAGAAATGTGAATAAGCCTAAATTCCGGGTCTCAAATAGGTATTGGTCTGCTCATTAAAATTGTTTATGTAAGAAATGAAACGAAATTTTAAATTGAGTTTATATTGATTTTTAGTCACTTCATTACCATGAAGATCCTTTAAGTTACCAGGATCTGATTTTTCTCATTTTGCTGTTGCAATGTTGCTCCTAGGCTACCTAGCATTGACCAGTGCTGAGAATTTCTTATTCTACTGGTTCTATCAGTGATCTCAAAATGCCCCATTCCGAGGAGGAGAGCTAACATGAGAGCATAGTATACACTGTGTCTGGAACTTGTTTCTTACACCTGAAATTAATGTTTGTTTATATGTTACTTAGGCCCCAAGTTGTTCTTCAGATAAATCAAGATCTGAAACCTGAAATTATGCATTTTGAAAGGAATTATCCTCAAAGGTTAGATATTAAATAAATCCTGGATACATTCACATGTTCAATTAAAAGCAGATTTGTTTCGTTTTGTGATGAAGAATCTATCTGTGTTAACAAAACAAATTAAATAATCATTACCATCAGTACTTAAAATATTTAACATCTGATTTTGACTTTAACACCTTCTAAAAAGACAATAAAATGAGTGCATTTCACAGCTGAATCAGTGAGATTCTAGAGAAAGTAAATTCTGGTACAATAGTTCACAGTTTTGCAGCATAAAAACATTTTATAAGGCTGTTTTGAAATTGTTTTAAAAGATAGTTATATAAAGATACAAATTTATGCAATTAGCTTTTTACTATTGTATGTTAGAATTGAAAGAGACTTTGAGATAATATATGAAATTTGTTGCCTTTATTTATAGTTAGGTAAAAGGAAACCCTGGAAGATACATTTCGTTCATTGGGGAAAATCACACTAATAATTATATCAGCCCGTACCATGTAACCCAGGGCAAGAATCTCTCCCTATCAGTAATAAAAAGCTTTTACCAAAAATGTATGTGGGCTAGATTAAGAAAAAGGTTGAAAAGAAGAATAAATTTAGCTTGCCAAATGTTGCTAAACTTTTAGGTATAATAATTACTTTAGAAAGAAAACTGTTGGATAAAGTCTTTAGTAATGAACAGTTTTTAGTAGTTAATGAATGCTTATTGATAGCAGTTTTAAACTAAATTAAGACTTACACAGAACATTTATAGATATAGTAACTATGTAATTACATGGAAAATAAGATGCCTTGGTTATTATGAAATATAATGATTTAAGGTTCTGTTTTATTCCAAATGGACTTTTAAGGCTTGCAAATTCTAATATTACACTGTAAAATTCCAGGTTTTACTAATGTTAGGGTTGGAAGGTAAAATATAAAGTGTCAACAAATAAAGCTATAAATTTAGTTTCAGATATTTAATCCTGTACTTGAAGAAAATCAGTATCTAAGTAAATTATTCATTTAATAATTGTTACTAAATTGCTAACCTCTAAGAGTTAATAGGTACAAGTAAATAGGAATAACCAATTCAAAAAGTGATAAGTGATAAAGGTGTGTCAGGAATGTATTCTAATGGAAATGAATGTTAAATTAAAATACTTGTTTTCTATTTTGTGTGTTTTGCATTTTTTAATATTTTGATACATTTCTTTTGACTAGTGGAAAAAAACAAATTTTAGTCATTATCCCTTGTTGAGAAGTATGCTGAGTGTTAAAAAAAATGTACAAGCCTTCTTTAAAATTTCCATTGTATGGAATAAAATTTTGACTTGCAGGCTGGGGATTCAGCTTGTTCATAAACTACTTCCCTACAATGCACAAGATCTTAAGTCTGATTTCCAAGATTAGAGAAAAATTGGAATCTTAAATTTCATTCTTTGTGTTAAATGCACACATGCACACATGGACTTTCAGACCCACATAGATAGTAAATAATTTTTAATCTCCAGGTTTACAACTAGTATTACTTACATACCTAGTATTACATGTATTTTTATTAGTCTAATACTGCCTGTCTTGGCATTTTGAAATTGTTGCTCTTTTACCATTCATGGAGAATTAAAAGCAACATGTATTTTATTTTTAAAAAATGAATAATCTCAAAGATTCAGGTAGGGGTTTGAACGAAGATAGAAAAAGACTATCACAGAAGGGAAACCAGGTGATAGAAGAAGGAAGTATAAATTTTTGATCCTAATAAACCAGATTAAACCACATGAGACAGTAGCCGTGGCAACTGATCATGGAAGTGTGCTGCTAATAAGAATTTGTAAAATACTGGGTGAAAGTATTCAGTGAAAAAGATTAGTAATTACTTAGAAATTTCTTCATTGCAAATTTTGTTAGAACTTACAACCAGATATTAGGTTCTGAATAAATATGTAAGAGGTAGGTAGGTAGGTGGTGGGTGTTGAGTCAAATTTTTGTGTTTGGTAAAGGGAGGTTTTCTCTAGTGGGAAAAAAAAAAAAGAAGGTGTAGGACAAAATTCTTTGTGCAAAATTAGTATTTCTGTCTTCAAAAACAAAATCTAGGTCTAGAGGCAAACCAGAAGTTAGGAAGGAAGGCAAAGGAATTTGGTGTTCCAGGTTGCTGAGAGTGATTGGTGAGGGCCAAATGCTTGGGATCTTTGAGGCCACAGGGCTGGGCTGTGCCCTGAGGAGGCAGGGCTGGGCACACGCTGCCAGACACCCACATCTTCAGAAGGTGGGAAGAGCTAACGAGAGCAAAACATACTGAAAATGAGTTTTAATTTTCTTCACTGAACCTTCTTTTCTCCCTAACCAGATACTCAGGTAGACTTCAGAACAGCTTCGAAAAAATTATATTGTTTCAAGCTGTACAATAGATCATTATGTACAATAGATGCTCAAATAACTCAAGCTTCTTAAAGCAGAAATGGTCAAAAGAAGAACCATTTGAATCATAAAAGTGGTATGGGGAAAATAGAAAATCAGTAGCCTGAAATGATTTGGGAAACATTTTTTTCAACTGATAAAGTATTTGGGCTAATGAGCGTATTCCTCACGTTCTTGAAGGATGTCCACATACAACTGTATGTTTGGCAAAAGTAGCACTTTAGTCTTTATACCTTCCAGCATACTATCCTGTCTTTCCTGCAAAGCAGGAAAATTTCTAACACCAGACAATGCATATATTCTTTAGCGACTCCCATTGTAATATGCTTTCCAGAGTAGAAAGGGAGGGAGAGAAGTTAGAAAAAATAAAGCCTTCTGCCAATGGAAGCATTTTTCTTTGTAACTGGAAATCCGATAAACGACAAACCGCAGCACAAAGAATGAGGAAATGTTCTAGGGTTTCCATTCCTGGGCCCAAGGGAACTATACTAAACCAAATCCTTGTCTCATTTCAAGAGATTAAGAACATTCTTGTACCCATTTAACATGTGAGGTGACTTTATGTTTAATAATGAGGAAGTTGCACCCAGGAGTAGAAATTGGAAATGATACCCTTAACCTGCTGTAGAATAAATGGACAAGTGGTAAAGTCTGAAGCTAATTTTTGTTTACTTTTTAACCTGCCCATTGTACACTAGCAAAATTACAGTGTACTGGAGCTGTGATCTGAACATGACAGTAGAGTGCCTTATTAATATTCATTACTGCTCTCAGGTGGCCGTGAGCTGAAATCATCTCTATCAGTAAGAGTAATTTTAAATGCCATTTGTCTAACAGCTTTAGTGCAGGGTTATTTTGCATACTTTTTTGCCAGGCTTACTTGTGTTTATGGAACAAGTTTGAATACTTTAGCACCAAACCGTTTAGGAAATTTGGAGCTCCATAGAAAAAATGCCCTCATGATGTGATGTGTGTAAATTGAAACCTCAGGGGTCTCCTTGGTCATGACCACCATAGTGGGGTTTCAGTAGTAGTAAATAAATGAGCAGCCAGTAGGGATTCCATGTGTTGTGGGATGATAGACATAAGCATATATCTACATGGACCTCAAAACCATTTCCAAAATACATCCTTAATTTACTTCGTAGAGATTGTCACACGTGCCATACCAATCTTTTTCGTAAATTCCCAGTTATTTAATCTGTCTCATGAAGAATAAGTACACTTTTATTTCATTTGGATGATACATCTATAACAAATAGCACTGAAAACAGTATGTATGTTCTCCTTGTTCTGTGTATCTAACATCAGTACTAACAAATTGTACACCTTCAGATGACTACTAGACTTCATTAAGCCTATTCTTTTCAAAGTATTTCTAAAAATTACTTATTAATACCTTTTTACAACAGTCTAAGAAGCAACTCTGGTTAGTTCATTCTGTGAATAAAAGTATTTACACAAACTTTATAGAGATATTGGTAATTATTTCATTTTATCACTTATAAAATATGATTGTTTTTTTTTTTCTTTTTGATACAGGGTCTTACTATGCCATTCAGGCTGGCCTTAAGCTCACTTTGTAGCCCAGGCTGGTCTAGAACTCCCAATAATCCTCCTGCTTTAGCCTCCAGAGTGCTGGGATTATGGGCGTGCACCACCATGCCTAGCTTAAAATATGATTTTTAACCGGCTAGGAGGGAATACTTTTTCAAAGGCACATTGTTTATTAAGAGTTGGTGAGCCAAATATGAAGTATTTCACTCTAAATGGTTTTGCATACAAGAGCTAGCAAAGAAAAATAATCACACTGCATAAACTGAAGCACTCTCAGTCTTGTCAAATTCTTTAGATTTTTCAAGTTTGGTGTTTCATTTGTTACTCTACATATTTTTAGGCAATCAACTCTACTCACTTGATTCCCAAATTTCTATTTCCAGTAATCAACTAAACATCCTGTCTTAGTTACTTTTTACTCCTCGCTGAGACAAAATACCTAAGGACCAAAGTAGGGAAAGGAAAGCTTTATTTCTTACAGTTTTTGGAGGTTTCAGTCCATACTCAGTTGGCTCCAAGGCAGGGTGGCATGGCTGGCCGCAGTACATGGCAGCTGCAAACATTAAGGCAGAAACCTGCAAGAGAGTGAGACACACCTTCTTCCTGCTATTAAGTTACATCCTGAGGCCAGTGTAGCACTCACACCCCCAATCCTAGCGCTAGACAATGGACCAATCACAAATGCACAATGCAAATGCATGAGGCCTGAGGGCCACCACATAAACCATGACACATTCCTATTTAGATGTTCCTGGATCTCCAAATAGTATGCACTTTATCCTCTCTCCTGTGCCCAACATGTAAGTTTGGGTATTCTTCTTGTTGGTTCATCTCTTTATTTCTTACTCATTTGCATCCCATAGCCATAGCCAGTCTCTGGATCTTGTGCCCTATATTTCCAAATACTTCTTGAATTACACTATTTCTTGCCTGATCTCCAATCATTCATAATTCATATTTATTGTCTCTCTCTGTCTCTGTCTCTCTCTCTGTGCCCTTTGTCTCTGTCTCTCCTCTCTGTCTCTTTCTTTGTCTCCATTTCCATTTTTTCTCCCTTTCCATGTCTCTGTCTGTCTCTGTCTCTTTCTCTCTCTCTCTCTCTCTTTTTTTTTTATTTTTTTTTTATCAGTACTGGGGATCAAACTCATGACCATGCGCTTGAGAGGCAGGGGATTATGCCACTGAGCTAAATCCTCAGCCCACTCTCTCCCTTCTTCATACCGTTCACTATTACTAACCTACTTCAAATCACTCACCTGGTTTCTAATTCTGAAATTTGTCTCCTCCCATCCAGATTTATTCCAATCTACTTTTCACACCCTAGTCAAGTATATCTCACTAATAAATGATTTTAGCTTATCTTTACCTTACTTAAAACTTTAAAAGACCCACTCTTTGGATAGAGGGAAAGTTTGATTTCCTTAGTATGCCATTTATCTCTCCAATTTCAGCTCTTAACATTTCCTTTTGTTCCAAATTCTTGTATATGCACCATAATTTATGTTCTTACAGAGAACAGCAGAAGAAACTAAATTGTTATTATGCACTAGTAACATTCACTAAATACAATCTGAATAATTGTGACAAATACTATTAGTATAAATAGAAATAATATTTCATTCATCCTAAGATTCTAACCTGTGTTTTTATTCTATTGCTATGCTTGCAGTACATAATGAGCATATTCATCATGGGCAGTCGGTACATCTCCATGACACATCTTACTCTTTTTTGGTCCACTTCCCCTCCTTTCTCTCTCCTTCCCTCCATCTCTTAGTCCCCTTTCCTTTGCAAAAGATCTGTCTCACTACACTTCTGTATTTCCTTCTATACTTTTTGAGTTAAGAAAATTTTAAATCAGGGCCCGTGCCGCTTATCCCAGTTAATAAATGAACACATAGAATCTAATGAAAACAAAATGACTTTCCCAAGATCAGCATAGGATATGGAAATGGGACTGAAATTTAAGTCTTCTGAGTCAGAACCTATAAACTGTACCATATCCTATGCTTCTGTCCATTTCCACATATGGTCAATGAACTACCTAACAAGTAACCTGATTCATGTAAATAGCCAATTACATCCTTTGTTTTCATTTTTGGCTTGCTTTTTTTCCTACTTGGTCTCTACCACTAGAACATCATGTCTGCATTTCGTATATACCCCTTAAAAAAGCTCCTAAGCCACAAAATCACACAGTGTATCATTGTGCACTTCAAGTATATTTAAAAATAAGTGATTAAGGACGATTAATATGGATAATAATAGACTGATTACAGGATAATGGACTATTCCTGACACTGCATAAGATTAACAATGCTAATCAGATTTTGGATTTAGAGCACTGGTCATTCCAAAGTAGAACAATACAAGACACTCAAATGTTTGCTTCATTCTCTTGCCTTTCAAAATGTATCCTTTATTTTATTCATGTTTCCTTCAGAGTTCAGTGACTTATGAAGGCTCTACTCAGGTGAGCTGACTATATATTTATATCTATAGCTATAAAGTATTCTGTATTTTAATCTTTGATGTCCTAAATTAGTTGCTTGGCAAAGGACAATAGTAAAGAGAAATTATTTGAAGGTTATATACTTGAAGACAATTTAGCACCATATTTCCTTCCAATCACAAAATACACAGCAGCTGTTTGTAACTAACTCTGTTAACAAATAGAGGATAGAGACATTCAAAAAAATTCTAAATAATCAATGGGTTTAAGCCTCTTTTATTTATGCTAAGAAAGACATCATACACACATTTGAATAGCCATTATCCATATCCTAATTTGGTTATTTCAAGTAAATTGTGAATTTGGAAAGCAAAGAAAATGCAATTGACAAGCTAGGCTTCCAAGCATAATTGAAATTCATTTTGAATGCAAGAAAGGTCAGTTTCATTTCTAAGCAGAAGACCTTGTTTTGAATTCCTGTGTTCTGCTTTGTTTCCTTCACAGCATTAAAGCCACTCATCACCAAAATGATTTCTTCATCTGCTTGTGTTAGTAAAGTTTTTCTTCATTAATTTTATACTTAATTTTGCTTAAACAAACTTTATAATTAACTCTTAACTATGTTCATTATCCAAAACGTGATCTAAGGTCAAAAAGGAAGGTAATGGGGGTTTTAGTATTTTTCTATAACAATAGTAATTACTCTGCGCTCTGGGTCAATTTTTCAAGAAAATTATTCTGGCCAATATCTTTTATATCCGTAGTCCCCCATCAAACTTTGTAAAATAACCTATCTACAGTCTTGCTGTCAGTTTATCTTTAAATCATTGTGCCAACATTTTTCGGGCATCGTATGTTTGCTGCGGGAAATTCTCTCCACCATTAAGGGTTCAGCCAGGTCTTCTTATCTTCCTTACTCAGGATTTAATCTCCTTTTCTCAGAATTTAATTTTTATAAGTGTTTATAAGTATCCTAAAATCCTTTCCTTGGAAAGAAAACTAAAAAACCCCAGCATCTACTTTTGTTTTAAAACAGTCTCTCAGGTGATAGCAAATGATCTTTTTAAAATTTTTATGTGAGTCATTTAACTCGTCAAATAAATTTGTAGTGACCATGTGATGAAATTATTAGAATGTTCATTAAATGGTCTTGGTGTCTTCTCTCCAGAGAAAAATATTATCCAATTTCCATGTTTTCAAATAAGTCTTTAATTCACACATCAAGAATTTAACTGTGATGGATCAGATTCTGAACTCCTTCAACAAATACGATGCTTCTTTCATAGAGAGGTGCCTGGTTAGTTTTGCAAATGTAGAACACAAACTTTGAATGTGATCTGATTTGTGAGGCTCAACATACACCACACAAAATGCACTAACACATCATTCTTCTGAGACTTTCCAGACCTCAGTAAATTTGAGATAGAATGAAATGCTACCCTTCATTATCTGTCCAATATCAGCCCAATCAGAAAGTGATTAAATTAGCCTAGCATATTAATCCTAAGCATAGTTTTTGGACAGACTGCAGTTTGCAAACGTTTTTATGACAGTGTACAAAAATACTACACTGAGTCAGTAGCTCCAGCTATACAAAATGGAAGGTCATAACAAGATATCAAGCATACATTTTAAAATAAATGCTTTTTTATTGCCTTCATAAATAACTATTAGTTTGGATGAAGATACAGAAATCCATTTAGTGAATAAAGTAAACACAAAATGTTTTAAATAGTGATTCTAAACTTAATGAAAATTTCTTTTTTAAATCTTTTGATTGGAACTTCTTTGAGACCCTGAAATGTTATTTATATTAATATTCTCATCAAATTACTTTTCCAGAGGTAACTTAAGGTCATGGTTATTCAAGTTACCTTGACTTATGAATTTTAAACAAGTAATGAGATGTGACATTGCCCAAAATACCCTACATATGGCTAAAAATAGTTGGCTCGCTAGCTGGTGATACCATTGCCACTAAAATGTTTTAAAGAGCATGTTTATTGTATCCTCCTATATAAATTGAAGATGTAGCCTACAGCCATTTCCTAGGCTATACTGATGAAACCACAGCTTTGTTTAGGTAATAGTATTTGAATGTTTATTAACACTAATTTCAAGTTTTTCTTACTCTAGACTTTAGCAGTGTGGTTATATATGGTTCTCCTTAATTCTAGGCTGAAGATATTAAGGGGGTTTCATTTTTAACAGCCCCAAACTCTCTAATGTCTGCAGAATTCATGAGATCTACCCCTAGGAAATGACACAACCCCACTGAGCCACAGCAATTTCATGTTTTGGAGGAATTACACACAGAGATTTCTAAGGAAGACAGAGACTCTGTATATTTAAATTCTATTTCAAACTGAGGTTAAGATTGAATATTTCAAAAATTAAGAGGAAATTATATAAATTTGGCAGGTGTTAATTCCACAGTTATTAATCCAGGAGAGGAGAAGTAGTGTAACTCCATGAAGAAAGAGACAGCATCCCTCTTTAGAAAACTTAAATGACAAACCCAAAGTCTCAGTCAGAAAAGCAGTCATGAAATGTGTTTGGTTAGACTTTTGTTTCAGTTCTTTTGGAACTTTTACAAGGTATCGAAGATACATTAAGTGCACATATGTGCTTCATTTTTTTAATCTTTCTTAGTGGAAACGTGCCTTTCCAGCAAACTTTTTATTATTTGAAATACATGTGTTGAAATGAAATTATCTTATTTTACATGGTATAGTCAAAGAGAGTAATATAAAACGTAACATGGAACTGAGTGAATTTTGGTTACGTGTTTCTTAAGATAGATTCTGAAGTCCTTGTTCTGGTCTGGGTCAAGAAGGGAAAGGCACACTTACAGACTGTGTATATTTAGCAGTTAAAAAAAAATCTTACAGTTCCAGGATTCCAGTTGGAATTGAATAGAGTGATTCCTCCTTCATCCTGTAATATTTAGTTCATGCACCATTCTCCAAATTTGATTAGCTAAACTTGCACTGTAACAGTCATTCTAAAGCCAATAAGGAAACGCATAGCAAAATTTAGTTCTTAAGGGATTCCTAGTCTAATGATACCATGATCACAGTACATGGAGTATGACTGTATCTTCCAAACCTGGGGACATTGCTCACTGCTAGTATGTAAAATGTTTTGATATAAAATGAAGATATTTCCTTTGTATTACTTGTTATTAAATGTTTTAGATATACACTAAGATCTCATTTATATTGTAGCCTACCATGAAACAAACAAAAAAATTAATGAATCAAAAATCTATTGAGGAAATGAAAGCACCAGTGTATCACGGATATATCATGAAGTACACAACTACAGTGGGAAAATAATGGAGCAGGTCATGTTCATTCATTAATACAGCAAATATGTGTTAACTGCTGTGTTCCTTGCACACATTAAGAATGGAAACATTTCTCAATATAAGGCAGAGAAGGTCTTCACTTTTATGGGTCTTACATTTTGGCCCATACTTCTATTGATTCCTCTGAAGGCTGAAATAAAGTAAGGCTGTATTCACTGGGGGTAATTTGTCTATTTTTGCTGGATCCCCAAAGTAAATTTCCTCTGCAGCAAAGTGGGTTCGGTTCAGCTGTGGACCCCTGAAGGAGCTAGGTGTGCTCTAGGAAGATATTCCCCAGAAAGGTGCTTCTTCAAGTACATGCTGCGCAAATGTTGGAACATTGTAGATGGAAACTTCATTGTAAATAAGCCTCTGGATGCCTCCTTCACCTCAACAACCACTTCCTGCCAAACTCTTCCACTGTTCCCCGAGTGCTTACTAAACATTTCAGTTCTTACAGGCAAAATCAAACCCAAAGCATAAAAACCTTTTAAAGATACAATGTCAGTGTAGGAGACACAAGCAATGAAAAAGACAGCATTACCTGTCCTAAACTTCTTGCCTGCAAATTTGTTTTGTGAAATTCTTATCACAAAGCGCGGCTGGCATGACTTGAAAAGATACTAGGAAGCTAACACCTAAAAGCAATTTAGAGCAGTTTTGGTAAAGCTTCTTTTATTGGTTGGGCTGTGAAAAAATAAAAAGTGATCTCTTACTGAGATTTTTTCCTAGAAGCATATAATATAGAAAAAAAATATGTTCTTAAACCAAAATGATATTTTTTTTACAACTGAAGTCTAAATTTGCAACAATTAGGAGAGAAAGAAAACAAGGTGACTGAAACAAAACAAATCACTGCAGGATTCCTCTCCTCTGCCCAGACAAAATCTTAAATTTTTCAAAAATGTTCTGAATAAATTCCATTCTATTTATATTTTCATTTATGTCACTTTTTGTGTTGCTGGAACAACTATTAGACACTTGCAACTCAAAGGAGGAGAGATTTATGTTGGCTTGTGGTTGTAGTTTACTGTCCCCTAGCTCCACGGCAGGAAAGCATGTCAGAAGGGCATCGCATAGGACAGTGCTTGAGCTATGACAGCCAGGAAGCAGCAAAGGGAGGAGCCAGGAGAGAGGTGCACTCTTCCAGGTCACACCCCAGTGACCCGTGTGTTCTGATCAGACTCCATTTCCTAGCAGTGAGTCGGCTGTAGCAACTCCTTAGCCTAACTACTTTCCAAACACTAGGCCCTGAGGCTTTGGGGGACATTCTCAATCCAAACCATGATGCCAACTATATCCACTTCGCTTGAGTTTTTGAATTCAAATCATTTGGTGTAAGGAGGAAAGAAGATTAGGGAGAAAGATTAGACAGTTTGTACATAGAAGAGATTTTCACTTTTAGTTCACATTTCTCCTGCCTTGTATTTATGTAACATATCATACTTAATTCAATACTGAACTCACAGCCAGGTCCAGCGGCATGCCTGTATTCTCAGCTATTTGGGAGTCTGAGGCAGGCAGTTCTCAATTTAAATTTAGTCCAGGAAATTTAGGGAGACATTGTCTAAAAATAAAAAGAGCTGAGTTAGTGGTAAGGAACCCTTAAATTCAATCCCCAGTACCATAAAAAAAAATTTTAGTTCACTTCTCTTTGGTTTACCAATATACT